CCAGGTCCAGGCAAGGTGCAGGTTGGTACTTGGTAGGTGGTAGCGGCGCCGTGGTGGTAGTAGCACAGGGTCAACCTCGAAAGGTCCGGGGTTCCAGAAGCTGGCGGCGAGGTACGTATCCGTGCCCGTAGACTGGGTGTAGACTTGTGCCTCGTCTCTGTGCGCAGTGCTGTGCAGCGCAGTGGGACTTGGTGGTGAACGATGAAGGGTCCTTTCGGGTGGGTGAGTGGGTTTGATGGATCCGGGAAGGGTGTGAGCTTTGTGAGGCTGGGAGGCACGGAGCAGCAGGTCGGTGCCTTGCCCTTGAAGTGCTCTGTATCCGTATGCGTGCTTGGTCTTGGTAGCGATGCAGGAGGGAGGCGGAGGCGGAGGCGGATGGACGAGAGGCAGCAGCGTTGCTGGATCGGGTCACCGCTGTCGATTGTCTCTTGGTTTGCCTGAGTAAGGTAATCAAGGCGGGTATCCGTAAGCGTATTGCGTATTGCTGGTTGGATGTTGGACGTGGGACGTCAGGATGACCGGGCTGGCGTATAGTGGACGGTTGAATAAGTTATGTGTATTGACTGATGGATTGATTGGCGTTGTTTGGGAAAAGCTGTAGTGATGTTGGTTGCATAACCTAGTAGGTAAGGAGAAGAAGAGCAGACGGAGGAAAGGTGAACAGGCAAAGTCTCGGTTGATGTCGCGGTCGAGGTTGCGGGTGAACCTGAGATGAGGACGAGGACGAGGACGAGGATTGCGGATGCCTCAGCGCAGCGCAGCAGGACCTGGGTACGTACTGTGTAAGGTAGAGCTTCGACGGAAGGCAGGAGGCAGGGACGCAGGCACGAGAAGGAGGCAGGAGCAGAGCAGGATGCAAAAGTGGATTGTTGCAGCTGCCCACGGCCGCGCCTGCAGCTGCTGTTGCAATTGCACCTCAGTCTGCGGTTGCCCTTCCCAGCTGGACCCCGAGACTCCTTCTCTTCCATTCTCTCTTCCTGACATCTTTTTGGCAGACTCACTGGCCCTCACTCTCTGGCCATGTTTCAAAGGTACTTCTTCAACAACCCACTACAACGTGAGAAACGAGGTACCTCGCACAACAAACATCCTCCACTCCCCCCTCGAGGTGGGCCGCCTCGTAGCTTACCTTAGCGTCGCTCGTGTATGTTCCTTAGTGGGTGCCGGCGGCGGGAAGAATCTATGCGCTAACCTTGTCCAGGTTCTACGTTGCTCTGCGCGCCGCTCATCCCGTTGCAACTCTGCTTGAGGACGATGCAAGTCGTCGCGTCCTCCCTCTCCAATTCTCTGATGCGCTCTCTCTCTCTGAGGAGTAGTCTCTGGTGTCTCACGTACGCAGCTGCACTGGACCCCGCGGAACGGATTCGAGTCAATGGCCACGGCCTTCGCCGTCAATGATATCAGACAAGACAATCCCGACTGTTCTCAATGCCGCTCCGGGTAGACATAAGATGGCAGGCCGACCGAACCGCCAATGAACCAATGAACCAAGCTATCAAATCATTTGAGTTTACCCCAAATCAGCGAACGCCGTTCATCGAATCATTCTCGGCGTTTTCCAACGTACCTATCTGTGTACCCGTACACGAATACATGACACCGTCATACCTGCCTACTACACACTCCGTGCTCCGTACTCCTATCAGGAAGACTATCTGCAAACACGGCCCGGGCGAAACGTGAAGGAGAAGAGGCCTGTCCTCTGCGTCTGTCAAACTTCACTTGCAGAGCAAACAGCGAGTCTTGTTTCTCCAATCAACCCCTTTCCGCACAGGGCGTTCAATCGAATCAATCTGTCTTCCTCCGGGGTTCACTGAGCAACAGGAGCTTCCATTCAAATCACCATATGACATCAATCACCCAAGTACGAATGCCAAATCAGGACCATCCATACATCTGCAGTCAATATTCGAGCCCATGGCCGCTGCGTTAGACACCTCCCAGGGGGCCCAACTTTCAGTCAGCCCAACCCAGACCATCGGGGCGTGAGGCAGTGCCCAGGGCAGGGCGGTGTTGGTGTTGGCGCCAGTCTTGCTCACCCGCTCTGCACAGGCACACAGGCTATGGAGACATCATACAGATTGGCGCTATCATCATCACTGGCGATCCCATCGCGGTGTGGCTTGCGGCTTGCTGCAACGGTGTCATTCGGCCCTAAAGCTTCTGGCCCACGAAATGTCAACCCCCCCCCCCCTTCAGCTTTGCTCCATCGACTTCCCCGTTTCCTGTCTCTATTCAGGTCCACGGGTGACATCAGACAAAAATCTCTCACGCCTGAAGAGTCGACGATGGGATTGATCTGTCCTTGACAAAAAGTTACTGCTCCCGCCCCTTCTGTTGATTTCATGCCCTAGGGCAGTGATTTCGCTTCCGTCGCCTGCCGTGTCACGAATTTAAGCATTAGCAGGGGCCTCCTCAGGAACGCCGTCGCTATGCCATGCCGCCATCCGGCTTGGGCTTTTCGATTGATTTGAACCCACTTGGCCAAGAAGAACTCGAGCGCTGTGTCTCCAGTTTTGCCCGGTACCGGTAAACTGTTTCCAGCAACAAGCATCATGGCCCAGTAACAGTGCAACGAAAATCAAGCAACATCGACGCACCAGCCTCCAGAGGATAGTGTAGAGCAGCTCTCACCAGCCACCGACTGCTTCCCTCTCAGTACAATATGCGAACTAATCTGCTGCTCTGCCACAGCCCACAGACATGGCAAGCTGGCAGGGTTCCCCGGGACAGGTGAGATAGCGTGGATAGGATGTGACTTGCGAGAAGATTAACCGCCAACATTGGGGCTGCCTGGCAGCTCGCGAGCCAGTCAAGGAATGGCAGGGATGCCCCGCGGTCTCCAGCACCGCCTCATCTGCATCATGATGACCATGTGGCTGGGGACGGAGGGGCTGCCGCCTGCGTGGGCTTACTCCAGCGCTGCAAGCAAGTCATGTCAGCCCAGTTACCTCGCCATCTTCATTCTTCGAAAGCTGCCGCAGCCCTTCTCGAGGACATATCTCGCATGCTGTCCCTCAGATTCAGTCAAATAGTTCCGAAATCAACACCTGGATACTAATACACGGTTTTCAAGACTTCCTCAAGGGCGCAACGCTATTCAGGAACGAAAGCCCAGCTATCATGCAAGTCTAAGACAGATGCACTTTTTGTCTAAGACATTTCTGCACGCCGGCTTAAATCACCCAATCGCCTAGCCGCACCCTCTAATTCGTCCACCTTCGCGAGTAGCGCTGACAGGACTTGAGGAGAGAGAGACGACTGGCCATTTTGCAGAGCGGCCATTGCCTGTAGGGCAGCCAGCCGTGCCTCGGGTCGGACAACCTAATAGTTAGGCCCGTTGTGTCAGCTCATTGGAAGACGCCGTCCAGCGCAACCTCCGCGCGAAATCTGGAATCATTCCGCATTAAGGATAAGGCGAAGCAACGTTGAATCGGTTCTCTCAAGGTGCCACAATCTTGACTTATACGAGCCGAGGCTTGGTCCCAGTTCCGCTGTCAATGTCTTCGAGGAGAACGAATTCTTATGTACGGAGTATCCGAGCATATTTGTTTTTCTGGTTGACGACAAACTATGCAAATGAGGAGTATCAGAGAGCCTGGGGAAAGAAAGGCATTCTTCTCCATCATAGGAAAAAGGCAAGACGCTATCACACCTGGCAACCCATCCCGCTGTTTCACGGAGACCCATCCACTGTCAGCTGCAGCTATCGCTCGCAGGATTCATCACCACGCATTGCGGTCTGTATCATGAATCCTGCCAGCCCTCCACCACATGCCGAGACCAACAAAGCCTCATCACTTTGCCACTTGGAAGAAACTAGACCTGGGCCGTTCTGACGGAGCGACATTCCGGCCCCCAAAAGTCGCGAATCCTCCCCCAGGCGTGCCAGGCCACCACGTTGTCAATCGCATCCATGCATAACGTACGGGATACAACTGCCGATCGACAAGATACTGTGAGATTGGTGTACTTTGCTTGCTGCCTGCGCTGCCCATTCATGACAACTCAAAAATGGATGCTATCCCTGATGAAAATCGCTATCTGCATCAATTCTAAACGCGCTTTAATAGTGGTTGGGAAGCAATGCCGTTGCCGTCTTTGAATGTGGAGCTGGGAGAAAGAATGCCGCATCGGAAAAGTACCTGAACCGAGATGGTACAAAAATTAAGAATAGCGCATGTAACGCTCCGCTGTGAAAGTAAGACTGTTAGCTCCGAAGGCATGAATATAAGTTTCTACCTTGTCTTACTCGTGAAGTATGCTAACAGGGGAAGCGTTTGTGAAAATCCGTAACCTACAAACCCGCCAATAACTCATCCTATCAACAGAGCAAGCATTAGGGCTCTTGTTCTCGGGTTATCTGCATAATTCTCCCCGCATTCAGCTTCAGCGAGCAAATCTTGACGGCCGAACCGCGATCGGACATCTGCCTTGGAGAAGCTAATTGCTCTAGGGTCATCACACGCGGCTAGGATCTTCGTCAACGTCTTGAAAGGCTCTTTCTGAAGGATGAAATGCCACCACCAGGGCGAGGACAGAGTGAATAACGATGGCTCGTTGGCTCCTCATCATCGTTGGCAGCCTAGCGCTTGGAGGCGGCCGCATCTTTTCAGCTTCACCCGTTTGAAGAGAAAGGGACGAAGTGGAGAGGGGGGCAAGAGTGTGTACCGGACCAAAGGCTCTGCTACAAATACCCAGTCTCTTTAGTGAGGATTGGATGAGATGCCTCATTGACTGGAACTCCGCTTAGCATTGATGATATTTGTGAGTATACACCCAGGCAAGAGCCCGACTTCTCAGCGAGGCACGCGGTATCCGGAATATTTGTGAACAGGAAAATTATCTATTGAGGTTACGTACTCAATGACCAAACTACCCAAAGCACCCAGGATTGCTCCCCCATTATGGAAATCAAAGAATAAAGCGAAAATCATCCAAACCATGAGTCGCCCCCTCCCCCTTCCCCCTTTCCCTCACATCGCCATCACGTACCCCAATCACCCAAATTTCTTCTCGAACTTCCTAAACATCCCCGTAACACCCTTCTCCAACCTGCCAACATTCGCCTCCAGCCTTCCCGTCGGGTCCTGCTTGCCCGTATACCCCTTATACTTGCCCGCCTCCACCTCCGTAGGCCGATACGCCTGCTGGTGAATAGAGTAGTCGAACGCTCCCGGCTGCTGCTGCTGGCTGCCCCCGTTGCTACTGCTATACGAGTACTGCGAGAACCCGCCTGGCGGGGGCGACATCGGGGCCCCTGCAGCCAGGGGCGCGGAGGCCGCAGTCGTTGCTGAGGGTGGTGTCGGGGGAGTGGGGACGGCTCCGGCTTGCGGTTGGGGTGTTCCCTGCTGCTGTACTTGCGGCTGAGGCTGTTGAAGTTGAGGCGGCTGAGTAGGCGGCGGGGGCGGCGGCGCGAAGCCCGGGGACGAGGGGAACGGGCTGCCGTTCGCGTATGGGTTGACGAGTCCCGGAGACGCGAGGCCGCCGTGTACGGCTTGCACTGGCATCGTTGCTGCGCGCTGGAGGACAGGTTGGCCTGGGGGCCCACCAAACTGCGGCGGTGGGGGAGGAGGAGGGAGGTCTATTCTCCCGTGTCCCTGTGCGCTTTGGAACCCGGGAGGGGGGACGAAGCCTGGGGAGAACGGGGCCTGGGCGTCGTAGGCGACGGCCGCGGCTAGCGGGTCCGCGACACCGTCTTCGGGGGGCGGGGTCTTTTCTCTGTGGCGGATTGTTTCTGGAGCAGCTGGGGCAGCGGGGTTGTATGCCATTGGTGCGAAGCTCGCCGGCTGCTCTTGTTGTTGTTGATGGGCTGATGGCGCGGCGGCTACGGCTGAGGTAGGTGGTCCGGCGAACGCTGAGCCGTTTTGCTGGTGCTGCTGTTGCGCGGAGGCGCCCCCTCTCGAAGAACCGTAGTTCGGGTCCGATATTGCGACGTGTTCTAGCTGTTGGACGACAGAGCTCACGGGTTGATGTTGCGTGTGCTGCTGGACATGGTGCTGGTGTTGCTGCTGCTGCTGAGGCTCATCGAGGATCTCGACCTGGGCGGGCGGGAGGACGAAGCGGATGCCGTTGACGAACTGGAGAGCGTCGTCGGCCTTCCAGAAGTAGATATCGAGCGAGTGGAGTTTGTAGTGGTACTTGTTCTGGTTCTGGGGGTCGTAGGTGGGCAGGTGCCATTCCATCTGGTCAGTCGTCTCGCCTACGATGAGGGTCACCATGCACTGGTGGTTGTACGAGTATCGAACGTGCGTCTTGTCGAGGACTGTGAATGAATGTTGGTTAGCGGATGTGATGTCATGTCAGCTCCAGCTCCAGCTTCAGTTGAAGCTTCATATGAAGCTCTAGCTTGTGCTTTGGAGAGTCAGAGAGCTCTCGGAGCAGGATACATGGGCTTTTACGCACATCCATCAAAGGCGTCTTGGTCCTCGGTGCCGGGCTGGTTGGCAATCTCAATGCGCGCGCGGCGGTCGTTTGCGTTTTCAAAAAGGTAAACGTAAGATCCCTTGTCGAAGCGGTGGTGCGGCGGATTACTCGTCGGTGGGCCGTAAAAGTAATGAACGTCTCCGAAGCTGTTGAGAGTTTGAGACCAGTCAGCAGCCGCCATCGTTTTCTATATATATGCGCCGCCCTTCAATGTGCAAATGAATCGCAAATCGCAAAAGCCCACGTGTGGTTTCGGATGTGGGTGTCGAGAGCCAGAGAGAGAGTGTGAGAGGGAAAACAGGCGAACAGGGCCAGGTAAGAAGACAAATGCGAGCTATCACGCTTCTTTACCACCTTTTGGGAAAGACAAAAACCAACAAGAACATGAAAACTCACAGAGTAGCAACGTTTTCCTCTCCCGGCCGGGTCGCCATTCTCTAATTGTGGGATTGCTGCGAGCAGCCCCTCCAAACCTTACCTTACCTTGCCGAGCTTCCAACAACGCCAAACAAAGGAAGCTCCAAGAATAGCTTCCTTGCCTTTTCTCTGTCCAAGGGTTCGGGGCCACTCCCTGGGCCGATGATCCGATTGACAAGCACCAGAGAGGCGCGCAACTTTTTCGGGGGGTGTTGGGCGCTGGCAAATTGTTACCCCGCCTCGGTCAAGGTGAAAGGTAATGTAGCCAAGGGCGGCAGCGGGTACGAATAGAGAACCAACAGAGCTCTATGTTGCGGGCGAAATTGGACAGAAGATGTGAGAAAGTGTGTGTGGCACCTAGTTTATTTCAGGAACAAGATGAGTGAGAGGTAAAAAAGGGGAGAGAGTTTCGTTTGAGGAGGAGGTGGGAAAGATGGACTGTTTTGCGCCGAGGGTGTCGAGGTTTTGTGTAGCTTGCTTACCACCAGAACAGACCAGTCTCGACGATCCAAAGCTCTCTCTCTCTCTCTCTCTCTCTCTCTATTCCTCTCGTGTGATCAATCACCCAATACCCCTCTAGTCCTCTTCTCTCTCTTTATCTTGGTACCACTCAGTAGCCAGACCGCCTCAAATACCCCCTCCTCTAGTGGCATGAGCAAAAAAAAACAAATTCGCAAGTGACAAAAAGGAAGGACCAGGCACGCTACCTTACCTTGAGGGTCTTGCGACTTCGCAAAACGCCTATCAACCCAATTGTCCCCGCCATTCTCCTCCAAGTCCCAGAAGCTCCCGAGCTAAGGTAGAGACCATGCGCGTGCCAGGCCCTGCTTGCGTTACGTCTGCTGTGAAATACATGGGTGGTGAGCTGCAGCTGGTCGCATCGACTGGTCAACTCGGCGCTTAGAAGACGTCGGGGACAGCCAATCAGGTGCTCCGGCCGGGGTTGTGTACTGCGTAGAACGGACAGTGACGGGAGAGTGCCGTCGTCGGGGAGTGGGGTCCGACGTGCGCCGTGGAGCATGGACCTTTTTCCCAAGGTGAAGAAGATAAGATAAGAGGTAGTGAGTGAGGTGAGTGAGGTGGCTCGGTGAGTGGAGGTGAGGTGACCGAAGTACCTCTGCCTTAGTCATCAGTCGACAACGGCTGCGATGGGCGTGTCCAAATTTTTGGCGATAGCTTCCCTGCGGCTTTGATTGCGTGGTGACGGATTATTCTTCGCGGTACCACTGGAGCCAGCCAACGCGCAACGCACACGCCTTTCGAATCTCACGAACTGAACACCATTAAACTGATTGTCAATTGACATCAATACAGTAAGCTCCCGCCCATCAATTGAGCTTCAACGCAAAATCACCAACAGCGGTACCTCAAAGCACCGCGACAACTTCGACGACACTCCCCCCTCGAACCCCGATTCCAACCGAAAACAGAACACCCTTCCAGACCGAGAGCCGACGGCTCCCCAAAGCAATCCAAAATGGGTGGCCTAACCAACGTAATCAACATGTGCTCCCACCTCCAAAACGCCTCCCGCGCACGCCTGGGCATGACCTCCGTCACAAACACAAAGCAAAACCTCAACCTCGCCCTCGCCCTCCACCGCTCCGGCTTCGTCTCCTCCCTCTACCGCGGCGGCCCGACCCCGCCTGCGCCCGAAGACCTCCTCCGCGACCCGGAACCCGTCACCTCGGCCAACGTCGCCACGCGCCGCCTCTGGCTCGGCCTCAAATACTGGAACAACGAGCCCGTCCTCCGCGGCCTGACCATGGTTACCAAGCCCACGCGGCCCATCAACGTTCACATTGAGGACCTCGAGCTCGTCGTCCGCGGGTTCCCGACCAAGAATGGCCTCGTCAAGGGGTTGGCGCTGGGGGAGTGCCTGTTTATTTCTACGGATAGGGGTATCTTGGAGGCGAGGGAGGCGCTAGCGAGGAAAGTTGGCGGTATGGTGCTGTGCCGGGCGAGATAAGAAGGGGATCATAAGGCCTTGTTATAGGTCAGGGGCGAAGAAAGATGGCCTTTTAGAGAAGGGAGAATTTTGATAGCCACTCCCTACGTGGAGAGAGCACCTGGGCCACGGGCAAAAGGAGTCTTGGGAAAAAAGAAGACACCACAGGGCAGGCGTCGAAGTCAACATGTTACTGCTCTGTAGGAGCAATGTCCTCCATATACTGTACAAAATTTGTATTCTAGAGAAGACACGAACACACCATATTTGAAGCTTTACTGTTCCGTGGCCAGATTGCAGCGACATCTGCTCTTGGGGAACACTAAGTCCGAGCTGCCTTTTAAGAAGCTATGGCTCACCCGCGTAGAGAAGAGCATTCAAAACTACACACATACCATGCAAAACTACTGAACCTTTTAAATGTCCAAAAGTCAGAACAATTCCGTGCGAGTGGTATTCATTCTCTATAACTGATTTCGGGCTCCAGACACCAACTTCTCCATGCTCCGGAACTTTGAAATTTCTCACGAAGTAATTTACGCCTTTTTGTCGGTCAGGTATCATGGTACACCCCAATGGTTTCTAAAACTATACAATCACCTCCGTCACTCTTCGACAGAATTCTTTTTTCATGCAGTCTCAGTCTTGACTTCTGTGGTCGCCTCAACAGGGGCCGGAGTTGACTCCGTCTTGTCCTCCTCCGCCGCTTCCTTCTCATCGGCCAGTAGCTCCTCGAACTCATCCGGGCTCTTAAGCTCTTGGTCCTCGGCGTCTTCCTCCTTGAGGTCGAGCGTGGCAGTCTGCTGGATGATGTCGTCGAGCTCGGGCTCCTCAACACGCTCTTCAGTCACGGCCTCCAGCTCAGGCACCGTGGTCTCCTTCTCCTCGACAGGAGCCTCAGCCTCAGCCTCCTTGGCCGGACTAGGTTCAGCCGCAGTCTCCTCGATAATAGGCTCTGGTGTGGCCGGTGCCTTTACCTCTGGGGTTCTCGGTGCCTCGGCGATGGCCTCGGCCTCTGCGGTCTCAACGACATTCTTGACTGGAGCATCCTTCTTGCTAGCGAAAGGGCTGCCTGTGCGGCTTCCCGCCCGTACCGCTGCCGGTCGAGAGAGTGCTCTCTTGGGACTCCTTGAGGCGGAAGCCTTCTTGGCGCTGCTCGGCTTTGCGCTCCTGCTTCTAGGAGGAGTAACAGGAGCCTTCTCTGATACCTTTGAAGTCGAGCTCGCCGTGGGTCGCATCATGCGAGCCAGGAAACCTTCGTCGACCTCCTTATCTTTCTTGGTAATGGGGTGGTCCTGAAGGGGCTTCTTTGGCGGCGGGCCAATGCTGGGCCGGGGCCGGTTGATGACTGAGTTCTGGCGCTTCAGAGTCTTGGGCGGCGCCGCAGCACCGGGCGCGCTCGCTCTGCTAGCCGGGCGGCCCTGGCTGCCAGAGGCGCGCGTAAGGGTTTCGCGAGGAGCCTCCTTGACTCTTTGAACGGAGGCGGCAGTCGGGGCCATCAGCGAAGCAGGCAGCTTCACGGGCTTGGTGGGCGACTTGACCTTGGGCTTGACGAAGCCAATGCCGCTGGAGGGAGAAACCTGCACGGGCGCGGGTTTCTTGCCGGCACCTGCCGTTTTCGCAGCGGACTTGGGGGTCGAAGTCGCCGGCTTCTCGGCCGGCTTCTTTGCGGCATCGTGCTGAGCCTTGGGGGCGCTCGGCTTGGAGCCCCCCGTTGCTGTGATAGGGGTCTTGGCAGTGACTGGAGATCTCAACGGTGTCTTTGCTCTCGTGATGGTAGCGGGAGGTGCCAATTTCGCCAGGGGTTTGGTGGTGGTCTTTGTGGAGTTTTTGGGAGCCGTGGACCCGGCGGTCTTTGCGGCAGCTGTTCCATTGGAAACGTTGTGGTCGGGCGACATTTGCGTCGGGTCGCCTGGGAGTAGCTCTGGCGTAGGCGTTTCAATGTCTACGTGTTTGTCGGTATTGTGGCTCGGGTGGTTGTTCAGAGCCCCCAAGCTACGAGGGGAGGCTCCGTTTGTCGGCTTGTCCGCGTCGGGGCGGCGAGGTGACTCGGGAATGGGGCTGCCGACGATATTTGTCTTGTAGCCCCCGGAGGTGTCCTCGGTGGCCATTGTCTTATCAGAGAGGCCAGATACAGACGCCTCTCCCTCGGTATGGCTGCTGAGCCTTCGCTGGGACACACTCGACTCGTTGCTGGGATCTCGGCGGAGTCCTACTCTTCCGTCCTTTTCAACAGCAACAAAGCTCGTTCGAATCTTGGAGAGTGGGCGGGTGGATGATAGAGGGGGAGTTTCGGTGCCGTCTGCAGAGGTATCAGGTTAGTTGAAATGCGTACACGATGGATAGATGGTGTTTGGAGAGTCAAGCTGAGCAGTTCTATGAACTGGGAAGAGGTCGACAAAGCAAGCTCGCCGAGAGAAGCTGCGTCTATTGCCATGGAGCTAAGAACGGCGGGGGAACTTACTGGAGGAGAGGCCAGGGGACCTTCCCCGATCCGGGGGACTCGAGTCGGCTTTTTGCTCGAACATTGCCCGGAGGTTCTTAACGGCTGACATGGCGGCGGTGTTGGGTCGCTACCGAGCGACTTCTTTTCAATCAATGTGTGGGAGGAAGCTATGTGGGATACGTGGAAGTTGCGACGGGTGGATCGTTTCGAGACAGAAGTTTAGAGGCAAGAATCGCGTGCGCCAGGCGTGGTGGGTTACAATGGCGGACTCGAACGTTGAATGTTGCCGGAAAGAAGACGCATGCCCGGTCAGTCCTCGTGTTTGCGGAGGAGTTGGTATACAAATCGAGGTTGAAGGGAAGGAAAGCTG